TATAATGATAACCACTTTGTTAGGCACATCGCATGGTGATTAGGAATGGACAAAATGAGCAGACCAAATCAGAACTGAACCAAATCGAGTGATTCGGTTCGGTTCAACAAAAAAAATAACGATTTTGGTTCTTAGAACTGAGAATCATTTGATTCTGATTTTGGTTCGATTCTAGTTCTAGAACCAAGAACCAAACTCAATATTTAAATTTTATTATTTTATATATACTTACAAATTAGTGAATCACAATTCGTACCAAATTTTTTTTTAAAAAAAATCAAAATTCAATTGAAAATCAGAACAAAAAGGTCTTGCACCTTTGATTTTTCATTTCTCAATGTGGAAAGTGGAGATCCTAATTCATTTTGGAGATCCATATATAAATTCGTTTATCATTCTCTCTCCTTTTCAATTTATGCACCGACTCTCAAATAGAGATCAACAACTACCATAGTCGCATAGATTTCTGAAATTGAAGCATCAACTTTCGATACTTCTTCCTCAAATGTTTTTTTTTTTTCTCAATCAGTAATGAAACTAAAACCATACCAAACCCGAACCGAATATTCAATTCCGATTTGGTTCCATATCTTTAAAAAATTCATTTTGTTCCATTATTAAAAAAAAAAAAATCATTGATTCGTGGTTCTTCGATTTTCTTGAAACCAGAACAAATGGAACCATATCCATCTCTAATGGTAACAATACAATTATGGAACTGGTGAGCACATGATCCTCCCTCCTATTTAAAAATAAAAACAGCTGGTTTTTCTTGGAAGGAGATAAATTATCATAAACTAAAAGCTGTCATCTAAAAAATTGTCTAATAATGATGTAACAACTTTTGTTATAATATTGTGGCTGTTCAACTCTGACAGTCGAAATGGTTGGTTGGTGTGATTGCTTTGGTATTCTTGAATAAACGTACTTATATTTTCATTGAACCAAAAAAAAAAAAACTTCTGTGATTGCTTAAGGCGGGCTGCTGTTTCGTGTTATTGCAATTTCGTATTATAATACTTTGCTCTTGCGTTCGCACACACAAATACCAATCCCTTTTTTTGTCTCTGTAATCTTCTTCATCCCTTCCCTCCACTCATTCCTCCATTCAAAGATGTCTTATGCTGCTGTATTATCTCTCAATGAGATTCTGGAGCAGATATCAAATCCTCATCTAGAACAACATCGGACTCCTCTTCAGGACCAACAAATT